AAGGTTTTATTTTGATGTCAGTATGACCACCAAGATCATCTCAGCCCAGAAAAATATACACTTCTGTTTCAAAAGTCTTCTTACGATTTGTACTGCATTTATTCAAATGTCCCTTGGAAGGGACATTTGAATAAATGCAGTACAAATCGTTATTCTCGATTTCGTTCTGGTTCAAGATTAAAGCTTAAACCAACACCATTTCATCCGTGTTATTAGGAAAAACCAAAAATTAACAGATTCTGTTCAATTAACAATTTATTTTGAAGTCATCATATGAAAATAAGAATAACATGATTTATCGAAAAGCTTCATCAGTGACTAGCTGAGGTTCTGACTAAGTCTTTCTATTTGTGTTCAAATGCACTGGATGGTTAACGTCTCTACTGGCAGTCATAGCAAGAGATTTGTAATACAATAGCTTAGTGTGAATAAGGAAGTCGGAACGTTTTAACTCTGTCTATCCTCACAGAGTTGAAATTGAACAGAAGAACTAAAAATAGAATGAAAGGAATACCAAATTGAATAATGAGCTTTAATTTTACAAACTGAGTAAGCCATCCTGTATGAAAATGAATTTGTTAATGTATCGCATCCACGTCGTCGTTAAATTCAGTCGGATCCAGTCAATTCTACTACAAGTTCTTTGAAATTCATAATGGAATTCCATTCCAATATATTTATAGTTAAAACCTCTTACTGAAACTGATTCAATTAAGCTTGATGATTCCATAATTATATTTCCAATCGTTTTCCGGCAGGTATCCAGTAAAAATAAGAAAACCACTACGAATCATGATTTAATAGAAACACTTGTAAGGAGTCGACAATAGCCAGATGCTCATACTGGACCTCATGAACAATACAAAATTATTCATTATTTTATGTTAATTCTCGTTTGAGAAATGATTTTATATTGTTATGTCAATGTAAGAGAACCCACCTGGTATTAACTATAAATTTCTTACACTACTTTGTTATGTTTTATTTGCTTTTGTTGAATATTTAAGAATTCATTATTTTGAATTGGATTGGGTATTGCTATTAAGCGAAAATTGGTGTTGTTTTTTTGCTCTGATAAATATAACAAAGGGTTTTTTGTTGATATATATATAAATTCGTTCGTAAAGTGTTTGTATACGTAGTTTTTGTTTGTGTTTATGGTTAAAAGCATTTTAATACGCAAATCATACTACTGTAGAGAGGGTGGTAAGTTTAGACAAATAAATGAAATACCACTATCAATAATACTAAAAATGTCATCCAACTGTGTTGTGCTTGTGATGCAGCATCACCTAGTTGAATTTTCTCTTCTTCTGTGATTACAACTGTAATGACTTTTGTTAAATTTGAATTTAGTTTAACTACAAATCCATCGGCAACTAATTTTTGAAAATAACTTTTGTCACCATCTGCCATTCCATTTTGAATATCGTCTAATTTCTGACGATTAAATTTAACAATAGATTTATAAACACCAGATGGAAGTGTTTCTTCTACGATATTGATACTATCTTTATTATATTGATCAATAAGTTTCTCATGATTTGCTTTCTGCCATTCGATTTGTGGTCTTGGATTACCACTGTACGTACAATCAATCTGAGGTTTAACACTCGTTTCTTCGCTCTTCTTCAAGTCAATATGTTGTTTGTCATTACACGTTACAAATCGAGGATTAAATAACACATGTAACTTCTTCCGACCCACTTTGCTCACGTCACCTAGAAAATAGAAAAACAACGATGTGTGAAACGTCAAATGTAATTTAGGAGGAACAACCCAAATGCCACTCTCTCGCCTTCTTCTCGAAACCTATTTGATTATAGATAATTTCTAATACTGATCACGAAACTGGTATCTTTTCCGACCGATGCTTTGTTAGTTGAATCTATATAAATCAAATTTCTGAAGTCTCACTTAAAACTTCGAGCTAGCCATTCTGTAGAGTACATCGAGTTACTTACACGTAAAAATTTTCAGACCTATTGTCGACTAGGCTTCAGATCACCGACAGAAAAATGCAGCTCATTTAGAGCCGTGGAAAAGTGTTTTTTTGTATTCAGCCCACTCGATAATCCAGTAGATTTTCTATTTTTGACGAGGGGTACCGTCAAGAGTTTAAGAAAAATTTTGAAACGAATATTATCTTCCCATGGAAATTTTTTTGTGCCATTTTGTTCAAAAAGTTTTCCTAAGCTTTGCCAGTATCCCTCGCTAAATATAGAAAATCTATTGAGTTATCGAGTATGCTGAATACAAAAAAGCACTTTTCCAGAACTCTAAATGAACTGTATTTTTTTTTTCACAGTGAAATGTTCACCAATTTTGCCTTTTGATTGCTACATCGTATTTAATGTGAACAATTTCTACAAGGGAAAATTTATATAACTGTGTGAAATCTTATCTGATAATAGATCTGAAAATTTTATCATTTTACATGAAAAGCGAGCTTGCGATACTTCACAGTATCATCATCGAGCTAATATGAGACTGATATATGAGCCTTCATATTAGCCTAATGATGATACTGTGAAGTATCGAAATCTCGCTTTTTATGTAAAATGACTTTACAAAAATGTCAATTATATTAAATATATGTTGCAGTGGAAATCAAAATCTAGGGCGATTTAAAATTCCCCTAGGGGAAATCAAAATTTCGAGTTCTCCTAAAAGAATGCCAGTTGAAATCAAAATTTTGACTTCCCCTATAGGGCAATTTTAAATTCCCCTAAAGAGTGTTTGATTGATATTTAGCATACTGATATTGATAGTTTATTTAATTAATAAATAATAATT